CAGGTCTGTGCGACCTGCTCTTGAAAACGTCCGAGGATGGAGAGTTCACAGCATCTGTTAGTCTGTCCCGGGGCCTGACCCCCCCGAGTCTGCAAGTTCCTCCTCGTCTCCAGCCTCAGTTTCCCCTGCTGCCGCTTGAGCCCATTGCTCCTAGTCCCGCCCCCTGCAGCCACAGAGAAGAGCCCGTCTCCACCCTCTCTGTCATTGCCTTTCAGGGATTTGCAAACTAATCAAATCAAATCCCCCCCTCCAGTCTTCTCTTCTCTTCTCCAGCCTTTCCTTGCCAGTCTCGCCGCCCAGGGCCCGAATCATTTCTGTCGCTCTCCCTGGACTCTTTCCAAACTGTCCCCGTCCTCCTCGAAGTGCTGGACCTACGCTGGACACGGGACTCCAAGGGAGGCCTCCCCGGTGCTCAGTGGAGCAGAAGAATCGCCGGCCTTGATTTGCACGTTCGTGCAGCTCAGGAGACTGAGCTTATTTTGCAGCGAGAGCGCACTGTTGGCTCCTATTCAGCTTATGGCCCGCTCTCATTCCCAGGTCCCTCTCTGCAGCGCTGCAGCCCGGCCCCTCGCTCCCCCGTCTGTATTTGTGCGCGCCGTTTTTCCATCCCAAGTGCAGGACTTGGCACTTGTCCTTGCTGAATCTCGTCCATTTGATTTCGGACCATTTCTCCAGCTGTTGGACGTATGCGTAAGGCTCGGGGAGGTTTACAGTCGAAACAAAATAGGCTACAACGGGCAAATAAACCTAGCAACGCTGGTTCTCTTCGGGTTCTGGCTGTCCTGTTGTATCTCCCACGGGCGACTGCTTGGGCTAAATGCAGGAGAATGATTGGCTCCAAATGTATCTGCAGCGCGTTGTCTAATACCTCAGCATGTTTTAATTAAAGCATGCCTATTACTGCTTTGCATGACCATCTTCTTGCAGAATCCCTGGCCCTGAGCTTTGACAGCATCCAATTAAGTTATGACTGTAATTAAATTCTCCAGTCTGATTAGTTAAACACCTGTACAGCAGATTTTAAAAAGGGAGTTATGTGAAGCAGAGGCATTTGGGATGTCTGGGATTACTCTTCGCTTGCATGCCATATGGTTGTAAGTGCTGGAAACTGTCTGATGGCTCTCGGGTGAATGGCTTAAAGGCAGGGACTGTTTTCCTTCGTTTGTAGAGCATGTGGTAGCACTGTAGGCAACACAATATAAATACCTGATTTATGGATTAAAGCACCGTTGCCATTCCTGACTTCGGGTAGGTATTTCAACCATGTCCAGAGTCGGAGCATGTTGTGCTAAGCAGTGATTCCCCTCAGGCTACTTGGCACGAGGCTAGGAATGAACAGACGAATCCCTCTAAGACAGCCTCATGAATCATGATTAAGAAATAATCACCAATTTGTGCTTTCCTTTGCAGTGTTGGAAGCAATGGAGAACTATAAAAAGAGCAAGATTGTGGAGAAGCCCTGTCCTCTGCCTTTCTCCAACCTGCCCTCAGACATTATCGAGATGAAGGTGAAGGACGGCAGCAAGATCAGAAACCTGATGGGCTACGCCATCGGCAAGATGGAGGCGGACGCCGTCAGGCAGATCCTTTTCACTGGCTCGGGCAAAGCTGTCGGCAAGACCATCACCTGCGTGGAAATCATGAAGCGGAGGCTCAAGGAACTCCACCAGGTCACCAAAGTGCTCTTCAGACAGATTGAAGAGATTTGGGAGCCCATCGTGCCCGAGGCGGGCCTCGACACCTTGACAGTGAAGAGGAACATCCCTGCCATATGCATCTTGCTGAGCAAAGATGCGCTCGATCCCCAAGAGCCTGGTTATCAGGCTCCAGGCTCTTTCGAGGCCTTCTGGATTGAGACGCTCGCGGCAGAATCCCAGGGCCAAATGAAGAGGAAGCAGGGGGCGGGCAGGGGGACTGGCAGCACCGGAAAGCACCCCAGATCTGTTGGCGAGCGTGGGGAGTCCTGCAAAAAGCCCTGAAGCAAAGACGTTCACAGAAGCAACTGACGGGATGAGAAAACACACCGGCTCCTCGGACACTAACACTCAGCACGTGATGCCAAGGTCGTTGATGCAACAGGGCTGGAACGTAGGTCAGCTGAGGGAGGGAAGGAAATGGGGTGTGAAAACCAATCCGGTCAAGCTGTTGCAAATACAGACTGCTCTCAAAGCTAGTCTGACATTCGCTTGGAAGATTTAGGATGCAGTGCCCAGTACTAGTGCACCTTCCGTCCTTGCTGGAGGTGGATGGTGGCAGGTGCTGTGTGTTTGCACTCCGAGCTGTGTTTTACGTGGTATTTTCAGCTGCCCCCAGTCAGCGATTGCAGTGCAGTTTTATCGGGTGGGACCAACCAGCAGCCTTTGCGGCCGTAGGTCCCTCTTCAGGGTATGTTGTGTTCATCCTTTGGAGACAGGCAAGTGCTCTGAACGGAGGACTGGGGTCTCTCTCGGTTCTGCCAGCGATGCCCTGTGACCTTGGACTGCTCTCCTCCCCTCCGTGACTCGGTTTCCTCATCTGTGCAATGGGGATGTTTACATGCGTTTCATGGGGAGTCAAGGGCTGGTTCATGCAGAGGTTATCTCAGTATTACACTGCTTGTTGTAACTGCTAATGGCAAACTCCAAAGCCAAAAGCTGGTTTCCTTTACTGCTGTTTTACCTTCAGTATTGAACAGAAAGTTGCCTCTTTATTTAACATTAAAAAAATCTTTAGTTGTTTTTTCTTTCCACTGGAGACTTCATAACATTTGGAGGATGGGACTAGGGACACTGGACTGAAACCTAAGCACTGAGCTGTTCCTGAGATGAATGTAAGAGCTTTTCTTTTCGTCAAGGAACTTCTCAGTGGGGCCCAGAGGATGTGCATTTCAGTCCCCTTCCCCAGTATTTCACCTCAAACACCGACAGGTTTTCTGACCGGTTTTGTCCGGAGCGAGGACAGCCCAGCTTTGTGTGCAGCGAAGCAGGGGTTTTTTGTTCATTTAGATTTATTTAAGGTGTTCTTGCAGCAGTTCTGAAGGCAGGCAGGACTGTTTCGGGACCCGCCAAAAGCACCTTCTTCCCAGGAAAACTGCCAGGGCACCTGGACAAACACATATATCAGTATTGGGAAGACGTGAACTGCATGAGATCCCTTTGTGAGGACGTGAAGGTTTTCCAGGCCCCGTAGCAGCCATTGTGTTCCTCTGTTAGCCCCCCTCCCAGCTTGCCTGAGAGGCGTCATGATAGCAACACTTTTTATCGCTGCAGCTGAACGGTACAAAAAGTGAAGATTTATGCAATAATCAGTCCCTTCTGTGGGTTGGCTCTCACCTCTCCTAACACAAGCACTCCATTCAGGTATCGACAGCCCGGCTCCATTACCACAAAATAATAAGTCAGTTGTATTGTAGGGCGGACATACAAAGGCAGGTGGAACAACATCGCGCCTGTCTTGAAATGCGTGACCTGGAGATGCCCCACTGATGTGGATCCCCTTTGCTTCCAGCTTGAGCGGCTTTACTAAGAGCCGGGGCAGTCAGAAACCAGATGCCCTTCAGCTCAGATTCTTTGTCTAGGGACAGCACGAGTAATCCTGAGACCCGTCTCCATCCCACACTTCATCCAGCATTGGCTCTTCACGTTTACTGGCGCGAGAAGCTGCCAAGCGTGTGTTGGCACGTGAGAAACTTAGGAGACTGGGAAGCTGCTTATGCAGCTCTGGGGGGGTTGGTTTCGTTCCGTTTTCAGACACGTTTCAATAAACGGGGCCCCTGTTTTCGCTAGCTGCTTGTGGGGTGTTTTTGAGCCGCCACGAGCTCCCGAAGCACAATTCATGCAAATTGGGTCCTGCAGTCAGCCAAGCTCACGAGCATCTGCTTACGTGCGCAGATAATTCCCACTGGCTAGGCTGTTCCCGTGCTTCATGCCCCAGTTCAACAAGGTACTCGGGAGTTTGAGACTGAGACTGTTTAGGCATGAAATATATATGTGTGTCTTCCACCAGAAGCGCAGCAAGGCGTATGGCTGACTGGCTGGAGATGTTCAGGAGATAAAGAGCCAGTTGAGTTGACTTGCCCGTCATCTTCAGCAGAGGCATGCTGCTCCTGGCACCCTGAGATCTAGGACCCAGGTGGTTTTTATTAACGAATTAGCAGTTTAGCGTTAAGTAATAAGTGTCAAAGCAAACGGGCACAAACGCCTGCCTGCTCGGGCTACGTGCTCCTGTACTGATTGCCTTAGGGCTCGAAACCATTCCAGCTTATTGCTAATTTGCCCTTCTGAAAGACAGCCGTGTCCTGAAATAGCAGGTACAATCATCTCTGTTTGCTGGCCTGCCACGTCATGGGTAGTGCCTGTTAATCCTGGCTGCAAACTGTTTGTGTTTGCAGTTCAGGAAACGGTTGTACTACTCTCGACTGTGCGTAGGGGGAGGGTTCATTTTAGAGAGACTAAAACGGGGGCTGCACTTTAGTTGCTATTTTTCTGTCCTGCATGAGCTCTGATGGCTCCAAAACCCAGCAAAGGAACTGATTTGTGATCAGCTCTGGGAAGAATTTCACCTCCCCTGGGGAGCCCAGCGGTTAACACAGGCTTCTCCCCACGTCTGCCCCCCCGGGAAGCCCCAGCTCTGATCCTTTTTGAGGAAATGTAGCTGCAAAACTGACAATTGCCAGTCCTGCTTCCTCGCGCCCATCCCTGCCCAATGCAGGCGGCTCCTGTTTGTGAGGACAGAGAAATGGGCTGGCTTGGTCACCGCGCGATGATTCCTCTGTGTAGGCAGTTCCCTTGTTACCCATCCATTATCCGGTGCTGTACGCATGGAGGTGGGGTGGTGGACAAGGGGAGGGTGTGCCTGCACCAGGCCATCGCTGGCACCATCATTGCACACCGGCAAAGTTTGTCTCAAAGGCCCTGTCCTAACAGCGTGCTCTCATTTAACAGCTACAGCGCCCGCTGTTCCAGCAAAGGTGCCATTGCTCCTTGTATCCTGCCATGGAAAACAACCCTTTGCCTTCTAGGTTTCAGTCGATCCATCTGCAGAGGTCTGGAGGGGATGGCTCTGCAGGGGGAAGCCTCTTTGGGGGCTGTCAAGGCAGCATCAGCCCTCAGTGTCCACAGCAGCTTGGGCCTATGAAACATCTCCCCTCCAGTGATGAATCTGTGCTGATGGCAGGTGGCCCACTGCATGTTTTGCCCTGGATTTTAAAGCAGGGTGTAGGATAAGGACCAGTTTTCTCTTAGTGAGAGACAAACTGCTGGTTACACAGGCAGTTGTCCTAGGAAAACTGTCCGTGATCTTAGTGCCTCGACATTGGCGGGAGCTGGTGCCACGTGTTGCAGCCATCCAGACTCGCTCCGGGGGAGATGGGCAGAGTCTCAGGATTGCCGTCTGTCCAGAAGGATTCACAAGGCCCCTCAAGCAAAGCAGAAGCCTCTTTTAAGGAAGAGAGGAATCCCCATCTGCGGCCTACTCTCCTGCAGATAGACCTGCAACTTCTGCAGAGGAGCCTGCGGCTCAAGGATCAGGCTGAAAGTCCCCTAAAGACCCATCCATGAGCTGAAATGCAGAGATTGCCAACGGTGCAACAAGCACCTGATGCTGCTTGGGGTGCCTGAGTGCTGCCACGGCATGAATAAAGAAGTAGTGGCACAGAGCAGGGCGCGGGGGCGAGGCTGGCCGACCTGCTGCCTTTCCCTGCTCGTGAAGGCAGGGCAGAGATGCACCTTTGTAGGCTAAACAAGGTATGTACATGTGTGCGCATGCGCATCTATATGTGCTGTCCTTCCACAGCACCTGATGAAGTGAAATCGCGTTTGCAAATCTTGTGCTCTCTCTCCCATATATATGTGTGCGTACACACACGAGAGCACAAGCTGTTGCGAGCCCGAGTTGACTCCATCAGACACTGAAAGGGCGGCGCAGGGCACGAAGCGGAGCGATGGGAGTACCGCGGGTGGGAAAGCTGGGGGAGGAACGTGGGGCCGTCAGAGCTAATCCTGGCAACGAGATGAGCGTCCCTATTCCCCGGTTCAACCAGACTGACCGCAGTCTGGACTGGTGCTTTTTTTGTTCTGCAGGTTCCCTTTTACACCAGCTATCCGCCCCGCCTGCTCAAGTGGCGCTACCCCCTTGTCCAAAGCAATGCAATCCAGACATGCCATGGATGGTGCTCCTGCACCCCTGGCACGTCACACTGGTTGTGGAGGTGCAGAGCGTGTGCCAAGCTGCTGGGCTGCCCACCTCGCGGGCCCCTGCAACTTCTGTGTGAGAGGAACCAGGGCAAGACGAGGTACCTGGCTCTGGCCCAGTCCATAGCAGCTCTGATGCCCTGTATTTTACAGTCGGCTCTTCAAGCCCTGGAGAAGAAAAGCACTGCTTCCTCCTGGAGGGGTGCCCGGTTGGGCTCAGCGTGGAAGCCTTCCCGGGGCGTGCAGCAGCGTCTGCCTTGGTGAGACCTCTGCGCTACCCCGCTCTGTCCCCCTGCCCTGGAGAGCGGCCCGAGCCGGGGCGGGGGCAGCTGTGCCGTTCGCAGCAGCAGCAGCGTGCGCACTCCGATACCTCGACCCTGCTTGGATCGCAGCCCTCTTTGCAGGCACCTCTGCTCCGGCGCTGCTCTCTGGAGGCCCCGAAGCAATTAGCAGGGCTGGTTATGGAGCCAGCTCCTGCCAGGGCAGTGCCAGGAGGATGAAGCTGTCATGTGAGAGGTGCAGCTGATGAGTTATTTCCTTATCAGCTGCTCATGCCACCCTGCCCCCAGCCCCTGCTCTTGGCTTCCTTTCCCTGAGCATCGGGCTCTGCTTGTCCGGCCTTGTTGCCCCTGTGGCTGCCGGCCACGGACCTCTGTCTCCCTCAGAGTTTGCGCACCTCGGGTTGAGTCTCTCCGGGCAGTGGGGAGGAGACAGGCAGTGGGCGCTGAACAGCCAGAACGGGCATATGGACCCTGGTGGCTGGCTCCCGGCGGGCCGCGTGCCGACAGCTGGAGAGCTGACGACGCCAGTGCCTGCCTCCCATCACACTGGGACTACTGGGACCTCGCCTGGCTGTGCAGCAGAGGTAGCCAGCCTGCGGCGTGGACAGCTTGTGCGTGTGGGGCAGGTGGCAGCAAGCGGAGCAGCAGAAGGGGATAGCAATGGCATTCAGGAAGCGTGCAGGACTCGCCCATGTCCTGCCTGCCAGAGAGCTGCAAAACAGTTACCCCAGGATTATCGTGGGTCGTCTAGCTGGGGCAGCAAAAGCTTCTGGGCTCTTCTGGGTGCCCCGGGCCCCTTTTCTGCTCCATGTGTCGGGGGGTGGAAGCATCCCCCAGAGGCGCTGGGTGCTGGCTGCAGCAAGGGCATGGCCTCGGCCTGGGGTCTCCCGAGAGTGTTTTACCGCCCTCCAGAGAGGTCTGGAGTCGGGGCAGGTGGGCTCTGGTTCTGCTGCCTTTCTGCTAGGAAGCACAGAGCTGGACCGGTCTGTGCCCCGGTGCTCGGCCGTGTGCTGCAACTGTGCCATCAGGACCTCCCAGCCCCAGGCCTCTCGCCCCTTGTGCTTGGGGCAGGGGCAGGGATGCCTGCAACCCCGAGGCACCGTGCACAGGACGTGCGTCGCTGGCAGTCTGCGCCCTCCGGGAGCCCCTTCAGCAAAGCGTCTCCCACTGCTGGCCTGTGCCAGACAAAAGGGTCCCTGACACCCTCGCTGAAATGCAGCCACCTCTAGGGTGGAGCGAGGCAGGGAGCAGCGCACAGTGGAGCAG